TAGCGATTCGCTTTTTCGAGCAGCTTTGCTGAAGAGAAAACAAAAACGCAACCATACAAATTTGTGGTACTGCAGAATTGGTACCACGTGTGAAAGTCAACAGGCCTACTGTAAACTCAAAAGTAGACCAGTTTTGTTATATTAGTTTTTCGACATCGGTGTTTTACAAAATAGAAAAATAACTTGAGCTACAAAAACTACAAAAAACTAGTAAATTATTAAATACAATGATTAGTGTAATAAATAGGTCAGTAAAGGACGAGAACTTAATGAAAAGAGTACCTTTGCTGGATGTAATTTGATGCCATAGAAATCACATCGCCGTGCCACTTCGAGCATTGCAAAGTCGCTTTCACCAGGGCTCATTCCTCTGGAATAAGATGTAAAAATTGAATAGAAAAATCCCGCTCCGTGTTAGTTACCCCAATCAGTATTGTGATATTTTTTTCAGTATTTGTAAACTTGTCATTAATTCATTGAATCAACTCCGTTGTATGGCTGTGAATCTAACTCAGCGAACGCTTGATTCATTGTGAATATTACTCTTTCATTCCGATATTTGTATAGGGGTTTTTACATTACCGGATAGTAACTTTTGATGAACTTCGAACATAGCCACTTTTGAAGGAGACATTTTGAAACATTCAAAAAAAAAAAATCGAACTTTGGTAATCCGAGAGTTCTAATTCAATTCGTTTACAGAAACCTATAGTCGTGATCAATGGGGTTTTTGTTTACTCCGAGCCAAACAATTCAGAAAGTATTAAATTTTTGAAATTGGGCCAAAATTGGACAAGTTTACTTTGTTGCCTATTGTTTCGCGTATCTGTACTACCAATAGAATCTATTTAATTTAGTTACAAAATCAACTTTTTTCATTATTGAAGAGTTGAATTTAGTTCAATAGATCCGGTTTCATGGAAATGCTTTACTTTTAAAATAAGGATTTTTTGTTAAACAGTTGTCAGGAAATTCGATAACTTAGGAATGAATTTTTTAGACGATTCGAGTAGAGGGACTTAATCCTTTGAGTGAGTTGTAGTTCTTTATCATCAAATGTGATTGTTGCAATCCATCCACCTTCTGTTTCCATCTTAGACTCACCGGAACAGTGGCGAGGAGGCAAAGAACGGGAGAAAGAACGTTAATCTCGTTGACGTTCTTTCTCGGTAATGGGATAAAGCCGAGTTATTGTTGCAAATTGGCCAGCAATTAGCGGGATGGTTCCATCGTTTAAGCCTTCCTTACTGCATCTCAAAGTGTTTTGGTTTTAATCAATCCCCTTCCTGGAATGCCCACGCCCTCTCGCCCTATTCAACTTCCAATCAGAATCACAATGGAATATTGAACGCCTTTGCATGGCCTATACAGTACCTTGCTGTAAGCAGCCAGTGCACAAGATGGTGCTCCTATCCTCCCAGGCAGGTTTGTTTCCAGTTAGCCGACCCCGAAGGAAGGATGGCTTCGTTGGGCGGACGGGTATCAGTCTGGAATTTGATCCAGGGACCATGTGTGTGATATTTGACACCTCGGCCCTGCCCCATCATTTTTATTTGGTGCTACTTTTTCAGATGAACGATAGTACACAATGAGTTCCTACATCCGAAAGCCATTATTCGTGCGGGGTCATTTCCGCTGCCCTTTCATTGTGGGACAATATCGGGGACGCCCTCTCACCGCCCTCCAGTTTTTCGTTCGAAATTTTTCCCATATGTGACATCGTCATCATCATCATCGGCTCTAGCGTAAAGCGCCCGAAAGAATCGATGCTGGAACAACTGCTATTATGTGTTGAATGAGGACCTCCCGTCCATGTATTTTTTCTGCTCACCGGACAACCTCGTGAGTTTTGCTGTTGCGTTCCGACCGACGATGAACCGATTCGCAGCGGCGCCAACCCCGACGGAACACATTCCATCCAACAGCTCAACCAACGGAAACATCACACTGACATTCCCAACCCCAGCGTCCTCGGTTCCAAGGAAAATCTATCTCTCACCCTTTCAGAATAAGAAGGGGCACTGGGGTTACCCCTACACTTGGAGAAAGCTCCCATGTATACTGGAACATATGAGTTTTCAAGAAGACAAAATTCTTGGGAAAAGGCCGGAGAACTACAAGTAATACAACTGAACAAGTCCAGGCGCGTTTAGTTCGGCCTTGTACAGTTTCGTACAACTTCATCGCAATGAGAATTTTCGAGTGGTAAATAGCTTTTTGACAGTTTGTTAGGTCGTAAGTCGGAAATCGAAAATTTTTGGGTTGTTTAGCTTAGTTAAGCCTCAATATTGAAAGTGTCGTAATGATAGGAATGTCATGATACTAAGCGGAACACTCGGCAGACGGTCTTGTAGGACCACAGAGTCTACATCGAAGAACGGGCAGATTTTATCGGTACGCTGGAATTGTAAAAGGAATCCAAAGCGTTCAGATCCAGCTCGAACATGCCAGTTCTATGTCATACTGGTAGCTAGAACTGACTCATACTACAGTATGCCCCCGGTCACAGAGGCAGTCAAGCTGATTCCATTGAGTTTGGTTCCAATTCAGGATAGCCCAGGATGGACAGCTGAGGCAACTGGCCCAGACTTGATGCAAGGCTTCCGCCATTGCATCCACTCAGCCCTCCTCTGTGACTCTGGCAAAAGCAGCAGAAGTACTATTGAAGTGCAATTTCAAAGGCGTAAACGGAATCGTTAAAAAACGTTCACAACTACGGGGTAATCTGATTTCGTCCAGGATTCTCCTTATGACAACTGTCCCCCCCCCCCAGGAAAAACCTCATGTCTATTCCCCCAATTGATGACACACTCGATGGCGACAAGCGTAGCTGATGACAGGTGCCAAGTCAATCAATCGCAACGAATCGGCACCAAATTTTGCACAAAATTCAAATTCAAATTCAAAGGCGCATTATCAATAGGTCAAAAAGATAGGAGATCAAAAACCAATCGATGACAAGAGAACCACAGTGAAAATTTTGATCTTGAAAATTTGATTTCAAAAATTTGGAGTTGTTTTCCAAGCGAACCAGCCGATCAGTATCAAAATTTTTTTGACCTAAAAAACTTATTTGAACTTACATCAAGTTTTTATGATTTTCCATGACTTTCTGTTGAAATTCAATAGTTTGATGAGGAATGAAACGTGAATGTGAGAGATACGTGGCATCTGGATAGTCTTCAGCAGAGAAATCGCCACATTCAGACTGAAAAATGTGTAATAAATAGAAGTTACTAAATATAATTTTAATGAAATTACTAGTAATTAGAGTAACTGCCACACACCTGCACAAGGTATGCAGCCAACAAGGCAGCTGTTGTCTCGGCACAATGTAATTCGCCCATTGACAAATCACGTCGAATTTGAAGCGTTAACAAGTACCTATAAAAATAGTACTTTGTAAGTAAAGTGTAAGTTTATTGAGTGTAAGTTAAGTGAAGGTAAGTAAAACATGAAAATAAAGTAGAAAGAAAAATCCGGAAAGCTTTGTTTACGTAATCACTGCGATTTACCAATCATACTTGTAAGTTAGTAATTTGTAAATCATCGTACCGCGTGTATTCTTCTTCAAGATCGATTGGATTTGGTGTATAGAATTTTACAATAAAATAGAATTTTGCATCCGTACTATGTGAGGTGATTTGTCGTAAAATCGGCTTGTCCGCATCCAACCAACACTGAAACGGGAAATTTCATAATAAAAACCATAAATAGGTTTTATTCCCTTCTCGACAGTTTATCGATGTTTGAGCTCCGATATAAAGTGGAAACGATGGACCCAGTGCAACAAAAATATTTCTACAAGTAAGTAATGGCTAAAGGCTTATTTACCTATAATATTTTTCCTAGTTTCCATTATCTCCCTAAATACCTTCCCAGTCGCTTTTGAAGCGATTCCAGGTAGAGCATTCAGTGTGAATTTGATTCTTTTTTTTCAGTCAATTCAGGATATAAAGTGTTGAAATGGGGTTTTTCGGAATCTCAATTTACTCCCTATCTTTTCAGAGTCGTAGAGTTTGGATTTTGTTCATT